TGTAATTCCTTAAGCAGTGGGAACAAAGGTTAAATCTGAGGACATCAGGAAGGTATAGAAGCCAGCTTATGGTCATTGCTATAACAAAAATTTCCCACTTCTCATTGGCATAACACATCAAAAGTGTGTCTTTTTTGTGTCATTCTCCAGTACAGAACTGCAGGAGAGCTCTGCTCCACTCAGTCATTGGGATTTCAACCTCCTCCATTTAGTGACTTTTCCGTCTTCTGGGGTCTCACTGTCTTCCATTAGATCCTTTTGGCAACTTAAAAAACACAGAAGACATAACCACTCTTAAGCTGTTTACCCAGGGTGTGACCCAAGCCACTTTTGCTCATTGCAGGGAATTAGTTACATGGGCCACCTAGATGCAATGGCCTTGAATAGTCCAGTGTGTATTCAGGAAGAAAAAAAGAACATAGATTTTGATGGGCACATAGCATTGCCTTTGCCATTAGAGAAAAGAGAAGGTAGGGAGAAGACACAATGAAGAAGGTGACAAAAAGCTTCACATCGTAATCGTTAATTCCCTTTTGCTCTCAGATCAAGGTCTGGGAGGGCATATGCAATAGTAGGATGGCAGTGTCACCCAAATCCAGGTGTCACCGTTCACGTTATACCCTTTACAAATGGCATCTTCTGGAACACAAGTGTATGTCTTTGTCTTTAAAAAATGGTTTGGGGTTGCTTGGGACTTTGGGGGAAAATGTATGCTCAAAGTATAATTTTGGGGCTTCTTCAGAGACTAAACCAGAAAGCAGAATACAAAGTGGCAGAGAGCACTAGTAGTACAGTGACAGGATTTGATTTAAGACCAGCGAGACAGATGGCGGTGTGTTTTTTTTAGAAGTAAACCAGGAAACAACAGATTTGCAAACAAATTTTAACTGCTATAATTCTTCTAATGCCCCCCATGAGCAACACAAGTCACTGTGAATAAAATGTTTCTTTAAGGCAGCTGTACCTCAAGTGTTTTCCTTTCTACCTATTTAGAAGGAAGAGAGGCCCACTGCAATGATAATAAAATAATCTCACCACTAATATTATTGATACTGTGACCTCTACTCTGGTCTCTGAGCAACTGGAATTGGTGACATCTATAAAAGAAGAACATGAGGACAGCATAGGAAAATGTGTAAAAAAGTTTGTTTTACTTTCTGGGAGAATGAGGGTGGTTTCTGGCCTGGATCCTCATTCTGAAATGTAAGAATAAGCAAATTGAAGCATACATGCTTATCAGAGAAATATTTTCTCCCTTGGAATGGCTTTAATCCCAGTGGAATATTTGAAATAACTGCTCACTTTAAAAGAAGAAGAGAAACACTTCGCTAGTAATTTGCTGCTTCATTCGTATTAGGCTGTATACTCTGGTGGACCATCTAAAGCCTGCCACCACAATCTCACTTTTGCCCGTGGAGGTTATAAACATCCAGTTTTCATGAAATACATTTCAATGAATTTACTGGCTGCCATTGTGAGGAAGACCATTTTCCTGAATATTTAGGTTTGGAACTTCAATGATCAACTCGTTCCCACCTCATGTTCACCCAGCGGAATCTTTAGGGAATAGAACGGAGAGTGAGAAAGCTGTTGGTGGGAGCAGGTGAAGGCCAGGGTGCTTGTGAAAGATCCCCAAGGACAGATTTTACTTATCACAAACTCTGCTCAGATATTATTTTATTTTCCATTGTAACAGCTTCCCAAATAGTATTACTGCCTTTAAACTCTCCTTTTCAATTCATTCTACAAAATAATGCCAGATTGCCTTTTTAAAAGAACAGTTTGTCTCCTGTCATTCCTCTGCTCTAAATTATTAAATCATCTGAAATGTCTAAGATGATAAAACCAAATTTGCTAGCTATATATTTAAGGCTTTCCATATTTGGGGCTCTGCTTACCTTTTTAGTTTTACCTATCTGCCCCTCCAAATAATCAGCTGAAGTCTTGTCAGAATATGCTCTGGAATATCTTACCTTTAGACCTTCACTCTCACTGCGCTCTTCAGAATTCTCTTCTTTCTTTCCCCTCTCCCTAGCCATTGTGAAACCTACTCATTCTTCAAGTCTCAGCTCAACTTGTACCTGATCTTTGAAGTTTCCTTGAGTTTCCAAGTGAAAAGGAATTACTTTTATGTGTGCCTATAGCATATTGCTGGTACCCATATTTGACATTTATGTTATTCTGCCTCAAGTGTTAGTTTGTTATTTACAAGTCTGTCACTCGTCTGTGAGGAATCCTCAAAGACAAGGGCTGTATCTTTTTCATCTGTATATCTTCCACAAGACAGCACAGTGACTGGCTAAGAAGAGGTACTTGAGGAATGCTTGGTGACCTGGACTGATAGATTCCTCATTTTTCCCTTGTGATACAAGTGGTGATGGCTTGCTTATTGTGGCCACCAACTACATTTCTGCCAGTGAGGTCACAGGCAGAGGGTCAAGATACTCCCTTTCTGTACAGAAGCAATCGGGCTGAAAAAGCCATCAGGCACCATTTATTATAAAGTTATTATAAGAACAGCTTAGTGCGTTAAGAGGGAGGTTTGCAGAAAACTTGGGTCAACGTATATTCACCTTGTCACCTGCCAAGTTTCATTTTGTTTCTGTCTTCATTATTACCTATCTCAGGATCAAACATATATTCCATGCTTTCTAACTGTCCTATAGGTGGTGCTGTTACTTCTCTCTAGTTTGGGAGACTGAATATGCACCTAGAAAGATAGATACCATAACATATAGCATAATAGTTAAGATAAAAAGAATCTGGAACAAGACTGGCTGGCTTTAAATCATTCCTGCACCATGTACTAGCTGGGTGATCCTGGAAAATTTGTTTTACCTCTCTGCGATTCAAATTGCTCATATGCAAAAGGGCATAATAGTAATAGTAGTTGTCTTAAAGGGTTATCATAAGGATTAAATGAGTTGCTATACATAGAATGCTTAGTAAGTGCTTACAAATCGTATTATCACACAAAAATACAAAATAAGATAGTGTGGCCTAGTGTAATGAACAAAAGCTGTGGAGTCAGAAGACCTGGGTTATATCCTGACTGCTGTTCATTCACCTTGGCCAACACATATAGCCTCTCAGATTCTTGGTTTCCTAACTATAAAATGAAGTGTGGAACTAAATAATATACGATGTTCCTTCCAGCTCTAAAATGCTAGTGTTCAATATTGAATACAAGCTTCTTCCCCAGTAAGAGATGGTTTATTAAAAAAGAAAAAGAGAGAAAAGAATGTAATTCATATCTGCCAAGAGAGATTTTTCTTCTCCTTTTATCATTGGCTTCTGATAATCAGAAAATAATCACATGTATAGGAGTTTATTTTTATGCTTCCTCTCTTGACTTTCCATCTTCCAGTCACCATTTCACCACTGTTAAGGAAAATGAAAGCCTTCAAAAACAAGAATTCTTAAAAGCCACTGGTTGCAAAACAGCAGAAGTGATTTTCTAGTGCAGAGATTCAGCTCAGTGCAACTTTACTTGGAGATAATTTCATGTAATTAAAAATGCAATCTATCCAAAGAGGAATCTTCTTTTTGGAGAGAAAGGTTTTATTAACTAAACTGTTAATTGATATGAAGCTTTAAAATCACATTCTTTTTAAGACCTGTAAAACAAGATTGAAGTGAGCTTGAATGCAGTTACCATTTACAAGAATTTAATAACATCCAGTTATTAGCCCCGATGAAAGAGACATGCACATCTCAATGATTCCCAGATTCCATTTTCAATTTAGTTAACACTCTGGCAACTCTCTCTCCTTCTGCAATCCCCACCTACCACAGCAAAAATAAAGTGAAAGGAGGTATATATTTCCCCAGTTTTTACCTCTCCTTGGCTTTTAAAACTTGATTGCTTCACTTGTGAATCCCTCCTAAGGACCCATAAAGGCTGATCAACCGTCACTGCAGGTTGGCATATGTCCAACTTCTCTCTTTAAGGTGTTCGGACAATTCAGAGTGACAAGACTCAAAGGTAAAGAAGTGACTTTTCGTTGAAAGCATATTTCACCTTAAAGATACTGTGGTGGGAAGCTATCTGGATGCTGTTTTTATAGATAAAAATGGTCAGATATTGACAATTTTTTAGAAGTATATATATATATATTTAATTGTACTTTAGGTTCAGGGGTACGTGTGCAGATCATGCAGAATTGTTCCATAGGTACATACATCGGCAATGTGGTTTGCTGCCTCCATCCCCCTGTCACCTATATCTGGTATTTCTCCCCATGTTATCCCTCCCCAATCTCCCTATTCCCTCCCCTAGTCCCCCCCACCAACAGACCCCAGTGTGAGATGTTCCCCTCCCTGTGTCCATGTGTTCTGATTGTTCAACATCCATCTATGAGTGAGAACATGTGGTGTTTGGTTTTCTGTTCTTGTGTCAGTTTGCTGAGAATGATGGTTTCCAGATTCATCCATGTCCCTACAAAGGACACGAACTCAAAGTTTTTTATGGCTGCATAGTATTCCATGGTGTATATGTGCCACATTTTCCTTGTCCAGTCTATCATCGATGGACATTTGGGTTGGTCCCAGGTCTTTGCTGTTGTAAACAGTGCTGCAGTGATATTGACAGTTTTATGAGTCTACCTAATAACAGTGAGGCCTGGATCCAGATACACACTACTGGCTAATTGGCAGGGAAATGTTCATTCATGGCACTGGTCATTATTGTTTGGCACAATGGACAGGGTCTTGAATGGCAGGTTCAGTGAAATTGTATTTTTCTTTTGTTTTCAACTTGTATTTTAAGTTCAAGTGGTACATGTGCAGGTTTGTTACATGGGTAAATCATGTGTCATGAGGGTTCAGCTTAATTTTGTCACCTATGTAATCAGCATAATACTCAATAGGTAGTTTTTTAATCCTCACCCTCTTCTCACCCTCCAACCTCAGGTGGGCCCTGATATCTATTGTTCCCTTCTTTGTGTCTGTGTGTACTACAAGTTTAGTTCCCATTTATAAGTGATAACATGCAGTATTTAGTTTTCCATTCCTGCATTTGTTAGCATAGGATGATGGCCTCCAGCTCCATCCATGTTGCTGCAAAGGCCATGATTTAATTCTCTTTTGTGGCTGTGAATTATTCCATGGTGTATATATACCACATTTTCTTTATCTGGTATGCCATGGATGGACATCTAGGTTGATTCTATGTCTTTCCCATTGTGAATAGCACTGTCATGAACATATGCGTACATGTGTCTTTATGGTATAATGATTTGTATACCTTTGAGTATATATTGAATGATGAGTGATGAAATTGCTGGGTTGAATGGTAGTTCTATTTTTAGTTCTTTGGGAAATCCTCAAACTGCTTTCCACATTGCCTGGACTAATTTATATTACCACCAACAGCATATGTGTTCCCTTTTCTCCACAGCCTCACCAACATTTGTTGTTTCTTGACTTTTTAATAATAATAATTCTGACTGGTGTGATATGGTATTGCATTGTAGTTTTGATTTCCATTTCCTTAATGATTAGGGATATTGAGCATGTTTCCATATATTTTTTGGCCACATGGAGGTCTTCTTTTGAGAAATGTCTATTTATGTTCATTGCCCATTTCTTAATGGGGCTGTTTGTTTTATGCTTATTGATTTTTCTAAGTTCCTTGTAGACCATAAATATTAGACCTTTGTTGGATGCATAGCTTGCACGTATTTTCTCCCATTATGTAGGTTGTCTGTTAACTCATTTGATAGTTTCTTTTGCTTTGCAGAAGCTCTTTAGTTTAATTAGGTCCCATTTGTCAATTTTGGGGTTTCTTAGGAATTATATTTGGCATCTTTGTCATGAAATCTTTGCCAGGTCCTATGTTCATAATGGTATTTCTAGGTTGTCTTCCAAGGTTTTATAGTTTTGGGTTTTACATTTAACTATTCCATCTTGAATTGATCATTGTACATGGTGTAAGCAAGGGGTCCGGTTTCAGTTGTCTGCATATGGCTAGCCAGTTATCCCAGCACCGTTTATTCAATAGAGATACCTTTCACTATTGCTTGTTATCGTCAGCCATGTTGAAGATCAGATAGCTCTGGGTGTATAGCTTTATTTTTGGGTTCTCTGACTCATTCCATTAGTTTATGTGTCTATTTTTCTACCAGTACTGTGCTGTTTGGGTTACTGTAGCTTTGTAGTATAGTTTGAAGTAAGGTAATGTGATGCGTCTAGGCTTGTTCTTTTTGCTTAGGATCCCCTTGGCTATTTGGATCCATTTTTGGTTCCATATGAATTTTAAAATAGTTATTTCTAATTCTGCGAAGAATGTCATTCATAGTTTAAGAGGAACAGTATGGAATCTGTAAATTGCTTTGGGCAGTATGGCCATTTTAACAGTATTAATTCTTTTTATTCATGAAAATTGACTGTTTTTACATTTGTGTCATCTCTGATTTCTTTGAGCAGCATTTTATGATTCTCATTGTAGAGATATTTTACTTTCCTGGTTAGCTGTATTCCCAGGTATTTTATTCTTTTTGTGGATATTGTGAATGGAACTATGTTCTTGATTTGGCTCCAAGCTTGGATGTTGTTTGTGCATAGGAATGCTCTAATTTTTGAACATTGATTTCTGTATCTGAAACTTTGCCAAAGTAGCTACAAGATCAAAAAGTTTTAGACAGATACTCTGGGATTTTCTAGGTAAAGATTTATATCATCTGCAAACAGGGATAGTTTGACTTCCTCTCTTCCTATTTGAATGTCATTTATTATTTTTTATTTCATATTTTCTTTTTTTTAAATTTTACTTTAAGTTCTGGGATACAAGTACAGAATGTGTAGGTTTGTTACACAGGTATATATGTGCCATGGTGGTTTGCTGCACCTATCAACCTGTCATCTAGGTTTTAAGCACCACATGTATTAGCTATTTGTTCTAATGCTCTCCCTCCCCTTGCCCCCCACACCCCAACTAGTCCCAGTGTGTATTGTTCCCTTTGCTCTGTCCATGTGTTCTCAATAGTCAACTCCCACCTATGAGTGAGAACATACAGTGTTTGTTTTTCTGTTCCTGTGTTAGTTTGCTTGGGATGATTGCCTCCAGCTTTATTCATGTCCCTGCAAAGGACATGATCTCATTCTTTTTTATGGCTGCATAATATTCCATGGTTTATATGTAACACATTTTCTTTATCCATTCTATCATTGATGGGCATTTGGGTTGGTTCCATGTCTTTGCTATTGTAAGTAGTGCTGTAATAAACATATGTATGCATGTGTCTTTATAGTAGAATGACTCATATTCCTTTGGGTATATACCCAGTAATGGGATTGCTGGGTCAAATGGTATTTCTGGTTCTAGATCTTTAAGGAATTGTACACTGTCTTCCACAATGGTTGAACTAATTTACATTCCCACCAACAGTGTAAAAGCATTCCTATTTCTCCATAGCTTTGTCAGCATCTATTGTTTCTTCACTTTCTAATAATTGCCATTCTGACTGGCATGAGATGGTATCTCATTGCGGTTTTGATTTGCATTTCTCTAATGATCAGTGATGTTGAACTTTTGTTCATGTTTGTTGCATAAATGTCTTCTTTTGAGAAGTGTCTGTTCATATCCTCTGCCCACTTTTTGATAGGGTTGTGCGTGTTTTTCTTTTAAATTTGTTTAAGTTTATTGTAGATTCTGGACATTTGACCTTTCTCAGGTGGATAGATTGCAAAAATTTTCTGTCATTGTGTAGGTTGCCTGTTTACTCTGATGATAGTTTCTTTTGCTCTGCAGAAGCTCTTTAGTTTAGCTAGATCACATTTGTCAATTTTGGCTTTCATTGCAAGTGCTTTTGGCATTTTTATCATGAAGTCTTTGCCCAGGCCTATGTCCTGAATGGTATTGCCTAGGTTTTCTTCTACGGTGTTTGTTGTTTTGGATTTTGCATTTAGGTCTTTAATCTATATTCAGTTAATTTTTGTATAAGGTGTAAAGAAGGGATTTAGTTTCAGTTTTCTGTAAATGGCTAGTCACTTTTCCCAATACCATTTATTAAATAGGGAATCCTTTCCCCATTGCTTGCTTTTGTCTGATTTGTTGAAGATCTGATGGTTGTAGATGTATGGTGTTATTTCTAAGGTCTCTGTTCTGTTCCATTGATATATATGTCTGTTTTGTACCAGTACCATGCTGTTTTGATTACTGTAGCCTTGTAGGATAGTTTGAAGTCAGATAGCATGATGCCTCCAGCTTTATTCTATTTGCTTAGGATTGTCTTGACCATACAGGCTCTTTTTTGGCTCTGTAGGAAAATTAAAGCAGTTTTTTTCTAATTCTGTGAAGAATGTCAATGGTAGTTTGATGGGAATAGCACTAAATCTATAAATTACTTTGGGCAGTATGGCCATTTTCATGATATTGATTCTTCTTATCCATGATCATGGAATGTTTTTCCATTTGTTTATGTCATCTTTTATTTCCATGAGCAGTGGTTTGTAGTTCTCCTTGAAGAGGTCCTTCACATCCCTTGTAAGTCATATTCCTAGGTATTTTATTTTCTTTGTAGCAATTGTGAATGGGAGTTCAATCATGATTTGTCTATTGCTGGTGCATAGGAATGCTTGTGATTTTTGCATATTAATTTTGTATCCTGAGACTTTGCTAAAGTTGCTTATCAACTTAAGGAGCTTTTGGCCTGAGATGATGGGGTCTTCTAAATATGGAATCATGTTATCTGCAAACAGAGACTATTTGACTTTCTCTCTTTCTATTTGAATATGCTTTATTTCTTTCTCTTGCCTGATTTCCCTGGCCAGAACTTCCAATACTATGTTTAGTAGGAGTGGTGAGAGAAGGCTTCCTTGTCTTGTGCCAGTTTTCGAAGGTAATGCTTCCAGATTTTGCCTATTCAGTATGATATTGGCTGTAGATTTGTCATAAATATCTCTTATTATTTTGAACTATGTTACATCAACAGCTAGTTTATTTAGAGTTTTTAACATGAAGGTTGTTGAATTTTATTGAAGGACTTTTCTGCATCTATTTAGATGATCATGCAGTATTTGTCATTGGTTCTGTTTATGTGATGGATTATGTTTATTGATTTGCATGTGTTGAACCAGTCTTGCATCCCAGGGATGAACTCAACTTGATCACAGTGGATAAACTTTTTGATCTTATGCTGCTGGATTTGATTTGTCAGTATTTTTGAGGATTTTCACATTAATATTCATCAGGGATATTGGTTTGAAGTTTTCTCTTTGTTGTTGTTGTTGTGTCCCTGCCAGGTTTTGGTATCAGGATGATGCTGGCCTCATAAAATGAGTTAGGGAGGAGTCTCTCCTTTTTACTTGTTTGGAATAGTTTCAGAAGGAATGGTAACAGCTCCTCTTTACATCTCTGGTAGAATTCAGCCATGAATCAGTCTGGTTGGGTTTTGTTTTGTTTTGTTTGGTTTGGTTTGGTAGGTTTAATTACTACTTCAATTTCAGAACTTGCTATTGGTCTATTCAGGGATTTGACTTTTTCCTGGTTTAGTCTTGGGAGGGTGTATGTGTCTAGGAATTTATTCATTTCTTCTAGATTTTCTAGTTTATTTGCATAGAGGTGTTTATACTATTTTCTGATGGTAGTTTGTATTTCTGTGGGGTCAGTGGTGATATCCCCTTTATCATTTTTATTGTGTCTATTTGATTCTTCTCTCTTTTCTTCTTTATTATTCTAGCTAGTGGTCCATCTATTTTGTTAATTATTCAAAAAACCAGCTCCTGTATTCTTGATTTTTTGAAGGATTTTTGTGTGTGTGTGTGTGTGTGTGTCTATCTCCTTCAGTTCTGCTCTGATATTAGTTATTTCTGTCTTCTGCTAGGTTTTGATTTGTTTTCTCTTGCTTCTATACCTCTTTTACTTTGATGTTGGGGTATTGATTTGAGATCTTTGCAGCTTTCTGATGTGGACATTCAGTACTACACATTTTCCTCTTTACATTGCTTTAGCTGTGTTCCAGAGATTCTGGTACATTGTCTCTTTGTTCTCATTTGTTTCAAAGAACTTGAAATTCTTTCCTCAACTTGGTCTATTCTGCTGTTAATACTTCTGATTGTGTTTGTTATGAAATTCATGAAGTGAGTGTTTTAATCAGTTCAGTTTGGTTCTTTCTTAAAATGGCTATTTCATGTTTCGTCTCTTGATTCATATTACTGAACTTATTAGACTTCTTGGAATGGACTTCAACTTCCTCCTGAATCTTGATGGTCTTCATTGTCATCTAGATTCTTAATTCTATATCTGTGATTTTACCCATTTTATTCTGATTAAGAAGCATTGCTGGGAGTCAGTGTGGTCATTTGGAGATAAGGAGACACTTTAGCTTTTAGGGTTGCCAGTGTTCTTGTGTTCCTTCTCATCTGTGTGTGCTGATGTTCCTTTAATTCTGGTGTCATTTGAGTATAATCAGTTGGCTTCATTTGTAAATATTTTCAGAGGGCTGATGCTTTGTGCATGGTCTTTACTGATGGCTGAATTCTTGTCCTTGTTTTCACGGGAGGGTATATTAGCAAAGTATTTTTGATGTTGAAGCTTGGGCTGCAATCCAATAAATGGCACAGAAGCATAATGGCTTGTAGATGGGCTCTTAGCCACATGGCTCCTCAGCATTTTCTTGTGTTTACAGCCATGCTCTCTCTCTTTGCCCTGAGAATGTGAACTCCTCTGGTACTCAAACGCTGGCTACAGATCTCAGCCTGGCACTCCTGGGCTGCACACTGAAGCCCTGGGCCTAGCTCAGGCTTATAGTTCCCTCCCAGCTTGGAGACAGCCAGCACAGGGACCTTGGCAGTGGCAATGACAGAGGGCTTCTTGTCCCTTGAGACCCTCACCCCATAGAAATGAGGGGCCACTGCCAATCAAAAAAATTAGCTTGGTGTGGGGTGGCTGCATTATGGGCCCAAACCAGGGACCCTGCCTAGTGATTAGCAATGGGGGCAGAAAGCTCACAGGGAAGACAGTCTGGTCTGTTCTCCACAGGGTGTCTGTGGCATGCTGGAGATATGAGTAAAGTTCTGAGGCTTTTTGTTTTTTCCCCACCTAGTAGCAGCAAGGGCTGATATCACTGCATTGACAGTGGCAGATGGGCTGTCAGTTGCCTCTGGGATCTCCATGCCAGAGACACAAAGTTACTGCCAAGGGGTATGTTCAACCTGTAGTGGGGCAGTTGTATTGAGGGCCCAAGTCAGCAGGCCTGCTTGGTGAAGAACAGGGGTTTGGGGTCTCACAGGGAAGAGAGACTAGGCTCCTCTCCATTTGGCAGTTGTGGTATGCTGGGGGAGCCAGCAAAATGATCAGTCTTTATTCTTTTTCCATCCTGAGGGCACCAAGGGTAGTACCACTGCAGTGGCAATGGCACAAAGCCTGTGTTGTTTGTCTCTGGGATTTCCTCCCCAGAGAAACACAGAGCTGCCACTGACTGAAGTACTCAGGTGAGGGGAAAGTGTCTTTGCTGGTGGCCCAGGTCAGGGGGCCCTGCCCAGTAAGGAGCAGCAGGGGCAGGGATGCATGTGGATAACAGTCTGGCTGCTTTTCCACAGGCAGCTGCATATCCTGGAGGTCTGTGGTAATTATTGGTCTCTTCTCTCCCTCCCCAGTCTGAGAGCAGTAGGGGCAGGGGCTGAAGTAGTGGAAAAAGCTGTGGGCCTTTTGGTTACTTCTGGAAGCTCTGTCCCAGCGAAATACAGAGCTACTACTGGCTTAAATGCTCATGCAAGTATGGGATGTCTGTGCGGGGTCCCAGGCCAGTGGGTTTTGCCTGGTGCTGAGTAGCAGAGATGGGGAAGTGAGCTCTGTGGTTCATCTGCTCCTCAGCACCGTGGATATAGCCCTTATCCTGGGGACATATGAGAGAACATGGCCTTCCTTATTGGCTGAGCTATGGCAGCTGGTGCTGCGGTGCTCAGGGATACATGAACCTTGGGGCTCCACATGGGCCTGAGAGGTGATTCTGCTCACAGTACCTATACCTCTCCATGTCAGTCTGGAGGTACCAGGGGGAGGGGATCAGAGGGGTTCTCCTGTCCCCAGAATTGCAATGAGCTAAAGCAAAAGTGTAGCTCCCTGGGGGTTCTCACTCACTCACCATTTTCCTACTGTGGGGAGCCTCCCTTGGCTCCATGACAATCCCAGATCAGCGACTGTCTTGTCTCACTCTACTTTGCTCTCTATGGGTCACATTGCTTGCTTGGTGAATTCCAACATGTCCTCCTGGAAAATTTCATTGGAGAGCTTGTGTTTACTGGCCATCCTATCTCCTGTCCATGAGATTGGCATGCACTAGCTGCTTCTAGTCAGCCATCTTAGCACCTTCTGCAGTGAAATCTTTTCTAGTGTTTGTGCATTACAGTGTCCTCTATAATATAACCTGTTTCCCTTTCACCATTTTCTTCTTCATGTTTTATTTTTTTCTTTTACTTTGTTTCTCTTCTTTTTCTCTATTCTGCTCTCCTTTTGTGTTGCTTTCCTTTTGTGCTACTTCTCACACTCTTGCTCTTGCTTTCTGTAGCTAAGTAGTAAAGAATAGAAATTAGAACCCTGCTTTCACCACTCACATTTATATGACCCTGGACAACACTCTTTTTCTGCTGTAGATTCTCCATCTGTGAACTTGAACAGTGATACATACTTCATCAGCTTGTTGAAAACATTAAATGAGATAATGTGAGGGCAGAGCAAGAGAGCAGAATAGAAGCCTACACCATTTGTACTCCCTGAAGGAACACCAATTTTAGCAACTACCTACATAGAGAAAAGCACCATCACAATAACTAAAAAATCAGGTGAGCAATCACAGTACCTGGTTTTAACTTCATATCTCCAAAAGCGGCATTGAGAAAGGTTAGAGAAACAGTCTTGAATCACTGATGCCAGCCCTCCCTTATCCCCTGGCAGCAGCCCTGCAGTGAAAAGTATCTGTACACTTAGGGGAGGGAGAGCACAGTGACTAGAGGACATTATATTGAATTCAGTGCTACCCTGTCACAGCAGAGAGCAAAGCCACACTGGGCTCAGCTAGCATCCACACATGGAGGAAGCATTTAGACCAGTCCTATCCAGTGGGGAATCACCTATCCCATAAAGTTTCTCAGCAAGCCTCACCATCACAGGTCAAAGTGCTCTAGGGTGGTAGGTAAACTTGAAAGGCAGTATAAGACACAATGAGTGTAATTCCTGGACAGCTCCTAGTGCAGGGCTGGGCTCAGAAGGAGAGTACTAGGGTGGAACATGACCTAGGAAGATACCAGCCAGGGTGGCCAAAGGTGTGCTTGCCTTACCACTCTCCCAGCCCCAGGCAATGCACCTCATGACAATAACAGTATCTCCTTCCTTCTGCTTAAGGAGAGGAGAATGAAAAGTATAGAG